TGAAGCGTTAAATTACAAAATGTTTACTGCTTTTTTTATGTTTTGTTCTAATTTATGCTGTTTCGAACGTTTCCTTGCGTTTCTATCACTCTTCTTTTATATTCGACTTATACTCCTTTTTGTCTTACTGTTTATTTTCGTCAGGGAATTAAAAATTATATTAGAAGATGTATTTAATTTTTAAATAACGAAAAATTAAAATAAGAAAAAGAGAAAGAGAAAGATAGAAAGAACGGAAAAGAGAAAGATTATAAAAAGAATTCAACTCCCAAGAATTAATATCAACGACTTTTTTATTTTACAAAATTTCAACTAAACACGATTTAAGGCTATGGCAGACAAAAAACTTAAGCAATAAGACGTAAGTAGTAAGCAAATCATTACAGTAGAGACCGTAAAATCATAACGTATAAGCAACAATCATTTTAATAAATGTTGCTTTTATTACTATTTAAGTTTTTTGTGTGTCATGGCTCTTATTCATATATTCTCTTTTGTTATTATTTTTATAATGCCGATTTGTCGTAGTTATAATTATTTTCATTTGGTATTTTTATATTTCTGTTAATATTACATATAATATATAATATTAATATTAAAAAAAAATTACAGAGTTTGTTAAACAACTTCTACTCAATCTTGCTCTAATCTTTGTGAAATTGTCGCAGCAATATTATATAATAAGGCGACAATAAAACTTTATGTGCATACGAATAATAAGCGAAGAGGGAAAAGAGTGGAAAAGTCGATGGATCAACCCTCGAGGCGAAGGGACCGAGTGGGCCTCAATACGGGCCTGGGAGGCGGTGAGTTCGCTAGAGAGACGACTCGGGACGACGACTGGCATGGGCCAGACAAACAGACTGGCACTGGCATCGCGAGAGTCGCCAGACTCGCCAGGAGTCATCCGCGGTGACCCACGATCACTTACGATCCACCAACGACGGATATTCAAGCTGGTTCCCTGACTTTACGACAAACGTTGACAAACGTTCTATCGCACTCAGCAAGATCGTACGAATATCGATTCTGGAGCTTCCCATTCGGACGAGCGCGATCGTTCCTCATCACGTCAACGATTGGCAATCAACTGGATCAACCTTGGTATTTGTCAGTTCTGCTGGAATCGTGCTCCTGCGGCGATAGAACGTCTCGGAGTATAAAGTAAAGTTCTCAAAAAGTGACCGACAAAATTAGCTGAAATAAAAACATTCGAGCTAAGTGATCACTATTTTCTTCTCTTATATTTATATTATTATTATTATTACTTTTAGAGATTCGGATTAACGATTTTGAATTTTTAGTACAGATTCGGACAGTTGTAACGCTAATGTTAGTGGTTTGTGTCGTGGAAACGTTGAAGAGCAAACAGTAATTAGAGATTTCAGTAAATCTGAAAACTGTGTACAAGTGATCGTGCGATAAGTAATTGTGTGTGATAAGCGACGTAAACTCTATTTTTGGGAAAAAAAAAAAAACGATGATACCGTAAGAGTGCGATTGACGGAAACGCGCAGCGTATCATCAGGGAAAACGCGATGTACAGCAAATTTCCTGCTTTCTTCAGAGAAGTTAAATCCCGGCGCAATCGCAGTGACGTAGAATCTCTGGCATGCACTGGTAGCAAGGGACGATTGAGACCAATCGGGACCAGTGAGATTTTCACGGTATCAGTGGACGATACAGCGGAGTGAGTCGTAACACGAGGTCACCAAGCCGTTAAGGACATTCGAGGACGAAGAGCGTTACCTGCAGCGTGTGGGTCCGCGCGCGCGCGCACACGCGATGTCCATTCCTGACAACGAAACCGCAACGCGCGCAATCGCTGTGCCGGGAGCGTCGTTGATCCAGATCACCATTCACCAGGATCCGCATCGATCAAGATCACCGTTATTCAGGAATCTCGACCGTCGCTTCGGGCTCGCGATGGGATCGTTGAGAGCTCCTAGATTCTCATAGTTGCTTAGACCGTGAACGTTTGAATTAAACTCGAATATTTTCAGCTCGGTGACATTTGAATTGTTTGTTCACGGCGTACGAAAATATTTGAATAGTTCTGGAACTTTCGTGCTGTTGCTGAAGCTATATGAAGATACGCGCGCGCTTCGCCGTGGCGAATTGAATAATCGCGGGAATTGAATGCGACGAGAGAAAAGTGGAAGAGCTTACTTTCTTTCGCAGGTAAATTCGCGGAGAAAAGTGAGGAGGAAGAAAGAAGGAAGAATTTACCAGACGGGGAAGGGAAGAAAAATTGGATAACTTTTAGTGACAACGACACCAGCCGAAGAATTTTGCTGGAAGAAAGAGGGACGAGGAAAAGAAAAGTCCAGGAGGAGGATAAGGAATTGAAAAGGAAAGCAGAAAGGATTACGATTAAAAGACACTGACTTCTCCTTGACATCATCATGTCGGCTCAACCTTTTTCTACCTTGCTGATCCTCGCAGCGATCCTCGGCGATTTGACCATCGGTAGCGCCGAGAGGCTAAGCGGTTTATACGTGGACAACGGCTTCGATCAGACGGTGGTTCATCGTGTGGTCAGCCAGTATGAGAAACGCGAGGTAGAGCACGAGATCCTGAATCTGCTGGGACTCCCGGATCGTCCACGGAACACCATCGGTAGGACCCCCCAAGTGAAGAGGTCGGCGCCCAAGTTTCTACTGGATATCTACAAGAACGCCCTTGGCGAGGACGAAGAGGAAAAGCCCTTGGCACGTAGTCACAAAGCCGGGGAGTTCGACCTCAGCGGACAGGATCTGAGAGCGATCGATCAGAGCGATGTTATCATGACATTCGCGGCTCACAGTAAGTTTGAATTTCTCAAATCATTTGACAGGTGCTTATTAAAGAATAAAGGTGCTGTAACGCTAAACTTAAATAATTTTGATTGGTCAATTCCATTACATTATTTTTCCGAGATTTCATTTTTCCGAAGTTCGAATAAGGACTGTAATAAGGACGTGATAATTTCTAACGAAATTAATAGATTTACCGATCAATAATTGAAAACCGATATCTTCGTAACTGGAATGCCAAAGCATCAATTATTTCTTAATCATATACGTATGTATTTATTTTTGTGTATTTATATATTTTATATCCTATACATATATATGTGTGCGTATGTTATTTTGTTACATAATTATGTTATGTATACATCTTATCTCACTTATTCTATATGTATTTATTATATCATTATATAATTATATATTCTCGATTTTCGTGCAAATTAAGTTTCGAAAATATGCGAGCAGGGAATGATTACTTAATTCTAAATAAATTTTTATGTTGTCTTTATTCTTAACTTTTAAAGTTTAAATTATATCTGCGTACTTTGAATTTTACACGCACGTACACATTTAACGTCAAATATTAACATATGGGAAAAGAAGAGTTTTTATCAAAATAACTGGCGTTAAATCAATAATTAAAAAATCGATTAATTGAAAACTTTTTGAAAGACACGTTTGGCTCAAATAAATTTCTTCTTCGCATTTACTTGCCATTGTTTGCTATTCACATCAGAATGTTAAGCGCAAACGTATGTGAAGTTAACCAATTCAATGTTAAAACTTTATAGTTCTGATTAGAGTTCTCCCGGTTCATTTTGAAGAAACAAAGGTCGGTATTCATAGTTGATTCTTATTTTAAGACTGTCTTAATTAAGATGTTAATCCAGCTCTCTGATTAGTTCATGACATCTTGAGAATACTTAATACGATCCTAAATATAAGATCTGTCTATGAATATCGCCTAAAGAGTTCTTTATTAAAAATTCTAGTTAATAATTTTTAATTTAAATTAAAAAATAAGATACTAAACTCTTTATCGAGATTCAAGATAATCCTGAGTGGCTTGATAGTTTTATTTTGTGAATATTTAAAGTACTTGGTATATAAAAGAAATCCGACCATAAAATCTTTTTTTGAAAAATTAATTTTTAGATATAATAGTTCCCTGATATTTTAATTATTATTTTATCTATTTCGAAGAGTTCTTAACGATTAAAAAAATATAGATCCAAAAATAAAAAAGATCTGGACTTAAAACAAAAGTTCAGAAACAGGCAATAAAAACAGGTATCTACTTATATATAGCCATCCAACCGCATTGAGTCATTAAGACTCTTTTGTTAGAATTCATTGAAAGCTACCCCAGAATTCCAATCAGAATTACTCGGAATTCTCAAAAAATTTTTGACTTCAGACTTAGAAAATTTTCAATCGCCGTTCAAATATCGGGTATCTTATAAATCATTGATCCAATTATCTTGAACCTAATCCTTATCTTTAACCTTAAGACTCAGAACTCATTAAGAGAGAACTGTCCAGAATGCCTATCAAAACTACTAACTCTGACAAAATTTTCAAAACCAATGGTCTGCAAAAGATACCCGACATATGAACGGTGATTGAAAATTTTTTGGAAGTTTTGATTGAAGTTCTGGACAATTCTCGATGAATTTTGACGAAAAATCTTATATACTTCAAGGTTATTGGATCAGCACAGTGTGAGAGAAACGTTTGAATAGTGATAAAAAATTTTCTAAATCCGAGGTGGAACAATTTTTGAGAATTCCGAATAGTTCTACGGTTGGATGGCTATACATAAAGAAAGATCTGTTTTTATTACCGATTTTTAAAATTTATTTGTCCTAAATTTAGATCTCGTTTATTTTTGGATCTATATTCTTATTATCATTGATAACTATTCGAAATAGGTAAAATAATAATTGAAATATTACAGAGCTTTTTGCATCTAAAAATTAATTTTTTTTAATTTAATTTTTTTTTTAAATTTTTTATGTGTATATCAGGAATTCTAGATATTCACTAAGATTATTAAGTCGTTCAGAATTACTCGAGCTTGAATTTTATTATTTATGTGGTCATTTCAGTTTGATTTGTATCCATTTCTATCAATATGAAATAACTTTAATTTCATTTTAATTAATTTATTTTCATTGCCATTTATCTTTTTCTAATTCTAAAATAAAAAAAAGATAAGAAATAAATTAAACTGGAATTAAAATTTATCTACGTTGATAAAAATGATGGATGTTAGTAACGCATAAAGATCTCTTAAATGTCCTGTCCCTTAACCAAACTCTGAAACACAAGATACTTCTTTATCTCGAATTCCTCCTGCCTAGTAAGTAGTCCTAAGAAATTTTCCACCAATTCTTTAACAAGGAAGATTAAAACATAAGAATACTTTTTCTTCTTTAGCACGTTCCTGAGGTGTGAGGTCACGACAAGGAATGTGAGGCACACGTAACGAATTCTCGAAAATCTCAGTATGCGAACTCGACACGATCGTGTTGTTGTTTCGCGACTCTGCAGTTTAAGTACAAAAAAAATTGCCACAAACCCGATGAGGAATCTAAGAATCTTTATTCTTCCCTTTTTCTTCTTTGCTCATCAGATTCCCCGGAAACCCGTTACTGCTTTCCTCCCCCCCCCTCCTCTCACTCTCTCTCTCTCTCTCTCTCTCTCTCTCTCTCTCTCTCTCT